AGAGAGAGTGTGTGTGTGTGTGTGTGTGTGTGTGTGTGTGTGTGTGTGTGTGTGTGTGTGTGTGTGTGTGTGTGTGTGTGTGTGTGTGTCCCACAATCTGGGAACTAATTGGCTTTGCCGGCCACAAGCAAGTCCCAGGCTGATCCAGGGTTAGTGAGGAGATAGCAGTAATGGGGAAGCATTTAAATAGCCAAAACAGATTCAAGTTTAGTGGTTTTACACAAAGTCCTACCTAAAGCAAATGAATAGAACAGAGTAAAAAGTTAAATCTCTACGAAGTAAAAATTATAGTAAAGTCTTCATCCTACAGGACAGAGAGGAGACATGCTGTCAACAGGGGAAGGAAAAAGAACTTCAAAGCATAACCATCAGGAAAGTTACCAATAACTAAGAAATTTCAGAGGGAAGGGAGGTGGGAAATACACAAGGCCCTTAGGTTGAGGTACCTGGGGGACAGAATTTAAGGAAGTGCCAGAAAACTCAGTAATCAGGATAAATAATGCAACAATTGGCAGGGAAAAAAGTCAGGATAGACAAAATATAAAAATGTTAAATAACAACAGGATGGGTACTTGACTTGATAGTGCCAAGTCAATCTATAATGAATCTAAAGCAAAAGAAGAAATCAGTTAATACAGATTATTTGTTTAAAAATTGAGGGCCGGCCAAGTGGCGCGTTGGCTAGGAGTTGGCTTGGGACGCCAGCTCTGAGCAGCAGGGCCCCGGTTCGGATCCCACATGAGGGCCAGTGACGCTGCACCCTCTACAGCTAAGATAGTGAACAACAGCTCGACCTGGAGCTGGGCTGCCCTGATGGCCTGCAATGGCATAGGCTGCAGTGGGGCTGGCCGGCAGCAGGCATGAGCTTTCGTGAGCGGCTGTCCAGGGGCCGGCGACCGATCTGCCTCACCCGGGAAGAGTGCAATGATAATACCGACATGGGCCAGTGAAGTAATGTCCTCCACAACTAGACTGAAGAACAAAAGGACAGCAACTTGTCTGTTCCCCTTCCCTGATTCCCCAATGCTGTTCCCTTCCCCCGATTCCCCAATAAAATCTTAAAAAAAAAAAATGTTAAAGAAACAGAAAAAAATGGACACCTGAGGATTTTAGAAAAAAAAAATTGAGTTGAGTAAATTTTAAAGATCTTATTGGCTTTATTCAACAATTCATGAATCAAGCAGCATCCAATCTAGCAGGTAGGAAGGAGTTCCAAGGAGCTGTACAAAGTAAGAAACTTATATGCAAAAGGGAGCAGGAACAAGGCAATTATACTAGGCCGAAAAGCTGGTTGATTACTGCAAGATCACTTTCCTTTAGGGAATGGCAGGGTCTATCAGGCAGATTACCTAATTAGTGCTAATCGGGTGACTCCTGACTGACTGGTTTAAGATTCCGTTTCTGGGAGAGCTGAAACTGTCCTTAAATCACAATTTGGTGCTGTGGGGCTTAGCATAAGCAACTCCATTTTGGGCCTGGTATCTTGTTTTTAACAAAAACCCCGCTTTTGATCAGACTCTCAGCCTGAGAGATGTGATAAAAAAATTTTTTTTTCAATTGAAGGCTTTAGCACTTCTCCCAGCTGTGCTCAGGTGTTCTCAAATTTTTTGCTGAGTCTGTGTGATCTTCACAGGTCACAACATCGGGTTAACATTCTTTAAGTCAGGCTTTCTCTTTGATCCTTTTCTGACGTTCTAGTCTTAGGGAGATCATTTGCTTGGTGGTTAGTGGCTGCAAATATGCCGTTAAAGCTTTTGAGAAAATATAGAGAACCAGGGAAACTATTGTGATTATTATAAGCAGGATAATCCCCAGTGTCTGGAATGCACTTTGGAGCCATGGTCCTCAAGACCCAAAGTAATCAGAATGAAAGAAGTCAAAGAAAGACTCCATTGAGAGTCACTTTTTAAAGCTAACTGGCTTTTTATTCTCCTAGGCTTACCCTCTCCCTGCCAGGTCCCACCCTTTGGTCCTAGGCAACCATACATCTACTTTCTCTCTCTGTGGATTTGCCCATTCTGGGCATCTCACATAAATGGTATCATACATTATGTGGTCTTTTGTGACTGTCTTCTTTCATTTAGCATCATATTTTCAAGGTTTATCCATGTTGTAGTAAGTATAAGTATTTTGTTCCTTTTTATGACCAAATAATCCCTTGTATGGATAAACCCTTTTGTTTATCCACTCATCAGTTAATGAATATTTGGGTTGTTTCCACTTTGGGACATTATGAATAATGCTACTATGAACATATGTGTACAAGCTTTTGTGTGGACCTAGGTTTTCTTTCCTCTTGGGCATATGCCTAGGCGTAGAATTGCTAGTAGCTATGTTTAACATTTTAGAAACTGCCTAACTGTTTTTCAAGGCAGCTGTACAATTTTACATTCCTACAAGCAATATATGAAGGTTATAATTTCTCCTCATCTACTCTTGTCATTGTCTGTCTTATTTATTATGGCCACTTAGTGTGTGCAAAGTGGTATCTTCTTGTGGTTTTGAATTGCATTTCCCTAATGACTCGTGATATTGAGCATCTTTTCATGTGATGATTGGCCATTTATATATCTTCTTTGGAGAAATGTTTATTCATATCGTTTGCATATTTTAAAATCAGGTTGTCTTTTTATTATTGAGTTGTAAGAGTTCTGTATACAAGTTCTTTATCGGATATATGATTTGCAAATATTTCCTCCCATTCTTCGGGTTGTCTTTTCACTTTCTCAGTGGTGCCTTTGGAATCATATAAGTTTTAAATTTTGATGACGCCTAACTTACCAAACATCTCTTTATTACCGGTGCATTTGGTGTCATAGCTAAGAAATTATTGCCTAACCCATGGTCATGAAGATTTGTACTTGTGGTTTCTTCTGAGGGTTTTATAGATTTAGGTCTACGATCTACTTTGAAGTCATTTTTGTGTACAGTGTGAGGTAAGGGATGAAATGATCATTCTACAGATGAGGACACTGAGGCACTAAGTAGTTATGTGACCTCTCCATGGCTTTATAGCTAGTCAATGGTATAGTCCAGAATTTGAACTCAGGCCCTTGGACTCCAGAGCCAGCACTCAGCCCCTATTTGCTGTCAGAATTATGGAGTCTAGCTCCAAGTCAGCTGCTAATGCTCTTCTCTCTGAGCCTTGGTTTCCTCATCTTTAAAACTATGGGTTTGGGCTGCATTGTCTTAAAGGTCTCTCCAGCTTTAATTTGCTGTCAGTTTATTCCCATGGCCTTCTCTGAGCAGGCCTCTGTTCCAGGAGTATGTATGTCCCAGGCTTTGTGTGTCGACTGAAAACAGTGTCCTTAAGGCCTCCCCCAAGTCCCTAGGGAGCAGGCCAGCACCATGGAGCTGTAGGAAGCTCTGTTGATAGCCTTTATTATCTAGAAACAAAAAGTCCGGTTAGGAGAATCCTCAGGAGTACCGCCTCCTCCTCCCAGTGAAAGAACACAAACAGTCTCATTAGTCATTTGCTACGGCACCACATCCACGTGTGTGGCTACTTTTCTGCACAAGAAGTCCCCAAAGTCTTTCTGCTTTTCTCTGGGCTGTGGATGATGGACTAAGCACAACAGCTCAGAGTCATGCTTGGGCCTGTCTGGGGACCTGGGCATCTGTTGTCCTCAGTGGTTGCCTATAGCTACTCGCCAAGCATCCCTGGAGGGAACAGGTCCATGGATTCTAGGGGAGAAATGTTTCTTCTACTGTAAACCCCATCCTGTCCTGCTCCCCTGTCTCACTGCCATGATCACTGTGGCATTGGACACACGCCATTATGTTGGACTTCCTGCGTCCCTGTGTGTTCTGCTGGAATTTGGTCATGTTATCTATGTGTCAAGTAGGTCATTCTCTACTGGGCTTATACCATGCTGATTAAACTGAAATTTCTCTTGAAATGGCATGCGTTTGTTGCGAAGAAATTTTTATCTGATACAGCAAATCGAGTTTTGGTGCCAGATCACAGATTTTAAGGTATAAAAGGTCCCCATTTTATGCCCTTATAAAGCAAAATTGACCTTTTTATTAGTTGTTCTCTTATGTGTGTCTCACATGGGCCCGAGGACTTGAATGTGCCTGCGTTCGTTGGTGTTAAGGCCAGCCCAGTCTTGGCATACAGATAAACAAAACTCCCTGCTGTTTGCTTTTCAACAATATGGACACCTTTCTAGTATGAGTTTTGCTTCTTTGCATGTAATTGAAATAGATGGGTTGTCTGGCAGAACAGAAGTCAGTAAATGGGATTGGGGATGTGTGAATCGTTGGTCTTGTGTGTGGCCATCACCTAG